TCCAGAAACGCACACCCCAATACCACAGTGAAACCCAGCAGAGCAAGAAAAGATTCCCTTTCTCTTCTTCTGTCTGTGTGTCCCACCTGGTGTCTTTTGACTGGGAGGTGGGTTGAGTTAATGGAATGTTTTCAAGAATGCTTGTTTGCATTCTCTGGGCACATCCCTCTGTATGTAGCCCTGAGCCAGGGGCAGGCTCCAGAGCAATAACAGCACAAACACCAGTCTCAGGTTCAGCCTTGAAGGTTTTTAGATGCAGTCCTTGGATACACACTCCCTATCACATAAAAAATGCATGGAAACTTAGTTTCTACAGAGTGGTCTTGCCCTGAAGTGGGTGACCCTTCTACTTTCAAACACACAGCATCTCCTCTGCAAACAGCCCTTGAAACCTCCCCTCACACCCAGGCTGCCAGGGCTCTCTGATGACTTCTTCAGTATCAGCAGGAGCAGGAAGCCTCAGGAGGCTCCACTGGGTTTGCTTTTAGAGTTTTCATAGATAGGCCTCTTATCTTCCAACCTAAATCACGTAGCAAACCAGTAGAGGGCGCATCCATCGTGTGTATGCAAGAAGGCATCCATCTGATATGACTGGAAGCCCTTCCTGCTCTGGCTTTGCCAACAAAGGCTGGTTAACACACAGTGTATGTGACTGAGCACTAGATGGAACAGGAGTAACTGCAGCCTGATCCTCGGCCCCAGGATTCAGATTCATTTTCAGATGCCTGTAGTTGGTGCCATCTCAAGGATATATATGTTCACATTCAAATCTCTGGGACTGGCAGATGTGACCTTATCTGGGTGAAGGGTCACTATGGATGTGATTAAGCTGACGAGTTTGAGATGAGCTCATCCTAGACCCCATGGGAAGGCCTTAAATGCAAGAAGTGTCTTTATAAGATCACATAGAGGAAGGATGTGTTAGTCAGGGTTCTCTAAGGAAACACAAGCGACAGAAGGGGCTCACACATACAGCAGGAGGGGGTGTTACAGGATGTGACTGTCTCCAGCAGAAAGGCTAATGATCAAATATCTATTCTATGAGAATAGATGTCTTTTTTTTTTTAACTTTTGAGACGGGGGGGGTTATTTATTTTTTTATTGGGGGGGGGGTGCTTCGAAACAGTGTTTCTCTGTGTAGTCCTGGCTTTACTGGAACTCATTCTGTAGACCAGGCTGGCCTCGAACTCAGAAATCCGCCTGCCTCTGGCTCCCAAATGCTGGGATTAAAGGAGTGTGTCACCACTGCCTGGCTCGAGACTGGATGTTTTAACAGTCCCAATCTGGTGCTAAAAATCCCAGGGAGGTCCTAGAGAGCTGCAAAACTATGTTGGCGTTCCTAAGAAGTATGTCCGAACACCAGCAAAGGAATGGCTCAGCCTGACTGATGTACTTCCTCCTTCTACGTCTTATGTGGTTGGCCTCCAGAAGGTATGGTCTGCATACTGGGTGGGTCTTCTGACCTCAAATGATTCAGATTTAGGGTAGGCCTCCTACCTCAAACGATCCAAGAAAAATCCTCCCCAGGTCTGCCCAGATGCTTGGGGTTTAGTTAGTTTCAGATGTAGTAGATGACTGACTACAGTTAGCCACCTTACCATATGGCCATGGAGGCAGAGGCCAGAGTGATGCCACAAACCATGGCAACCAAGAAATGCACCAGAAGCCAGAGGAGACAAGGAAGTACACTCCCCAGAGCTTTCAAAGGAAGCATGGACACCTTGGTTCTGGGCTTTGGGCCTTCAAAATGGTAAAAGAATTTCCTGGATCGTTGGGTGTGTTGTGTGTAACAATACATCTCTGTGTGTGTGTGTGTGTGTTCGTGAGTGGACACATGTGTTTGAGTGTACTGTATATGGTATGCACACATATGGAGACCAGAGATTGGTGCTCCATGTCTTTCTCAGGTGATCCCTATCTTATTTTACGAGACAAGGCTTCCCACTGAACCCAGAGCTCACTGACAGGGAGGCTGGCCATCCAAGGAGCCCCTGGAATCCTGCCTATGTTTCTAACGTGCTGGTATTGCAGGCCACACATCTGGCTCTTACCGGGGCACTCTGGCTGGAACTCAGGTCCTTGTGCTTTCATGGCCATCTCCCCAACTGCACATTCTGTCTTTTAAATAACCTGATTTGTGCCTTTGTACTGCAGGCCTGGGAAGTATCTTCCCACAGCGTATCACAAAGCCCCTGTGTGACAGCCCAGAGAGCACTCTTCCTCCATGGGGCTATTCTCTTCAGAGGACACCCCTTTATGAGGATGCAGCTTTTGGTTTCCATGAAGTGTTGAGATGAAGAAGGGTCCCTGTGACTCCACAAATAGTGGTGGGAGGCAGAGGTAGCTGTGAACTGGGAAACGGGCACACATCAACTATATGCCATGGGACACATCACTAATGTGTCAGTGGTCCTGTAACACCTATGAGGGGCAGCTCTCACCCACCTCATCTGCTGGGCCTCCAAGACTCTTCCTGTGCATCTAGGTGAGTGCCGCCTGCTTGAGAGATTGCTCACAGACTGAGCAGGTACCCCAAAGGTGCCACATGCAAGGGTGCTGGGATCATGCAACAGAATGAGATAAAGCAGTTTTGCCAACAGGAAGGGTCCTCAGACAATCTTCCAGAAACGTATTTCTATGTCCAGGTCTCTGGTGGACGGCCTTGCCCAATGAGCAAGCCTTAACCATTCCAGGGTCCGTTTGTCCTGATGCACTCAGACTTGGGGTTTTTCATGGAACACAGCCAGGTCCTCTGTCACTAATATGTCAGCAGTCCTGAGATACCTAGGAGGGGCAGCTGTCTCCCAGCATCCAGACTGTCAACTGTGGCCGCTTTATAAGTTTCCACTCTGTCGTGTACCCTGGAAGAACTTTGGCATTTGCATAAAGGCCAGCAGCTGCTGTCTCAAGCCACTTGGGCAACTTGAACTTCTACCCTTTAAATGCAGCTTTGTGTATAGGTCAGAACTTGACATTAGGCAGTTTTTCTTTATTTTTTTTGACACAGGGTCTCTCATTGAACTTACTGATTCAAATAGACTGGCTGGCCAGCAAGGATCTGCTGCCCCTGTCTCTTCCCCAGAGCTGAAATCAAAGCTGTACTCCAATATGTCTGGGTTTTAACGTAAGTGCTAAGGAATACAAACTCAGATCCTCAGGCTTGCGTGGCAAGCACTTCACCAATTAATCCAGTCATCCAGCCATCCTTCCAGCCTCAGAATGTGCTCTCAAAGGGACTTTTGACTACCTGAAAGGATGTAACAGTCACAGCCTGCGAAATCTCACTGTCTGAGATAAAAACTAAAACACACTCATGTACAAATTGCTCTTAGTTTTCTATGATTTGTAGCTAAACAAAACAAAAAACAAATAACAAAACCATTTTTTTTAATGTGTGAGTGTTCTGTCTGCATGTACACCTGCAGGCCAGAAGAGGGCATCAGTTACCTTTATAGTTGGTTGTGAACCACCATGTAGTTGCTGGGAATTGAACTTCACAACCTCTGGAACAGCAGCCAGTTCTCTTAACTGCTGAGTCATTTCACCAGCCCCACCAAACAAATTTAATTGAAATAATTATCAAGGGAAGATATAAAATCGTAAGGCAGTGTGCATGTCCTCAGTTTTATGGATTGGCTTATTTGATATAGAGTCTTGATATATTGCCCAGACTTGGGATTCTCCTGACTCAGCTCTCTAAGTAGGCAGAGATATATGAAATTATTTATATGTATACTTAGTTATAGTTCTATGTACAATGAAGAGCTGGAAGGATATCGGTTTCTAAGACACCAAGTTTAATACCAGGCACATCAACTGATTTTTAATACTTAGAGCCACTCCACCAGTTGTCTGAATTTATGAGGAAATCAAGGCTTTAAGAGTTTAGCAATACTCTCAAATTAATCCACATAGCGGGTAGCCACCTGGGGCCCCGGAACCAGGTCTGCCTGCAGTCAGAGAACGCTAGGATTTCACAGAAACAGAACATGGTCAGTTCTAAGTAGTTCTAGGACACTCTTTAAACAAGTGTTTCTTTAAGCATTTTTATTAGACTATTTAGTGTGTCTGAGAGCTCTCCTACATGTATGCATGTACACCACTTACATACCTGGTGTCCTGGAGGACAGAATAGGGCATTGGATCTCCTAGAACTAGAGTAAAAGTGGGTGCTATAACCAGGTCCTCTGCAAAAGCAGCCAGTGCTCCTAACAGTTCAGCCATCTCTTCAGTCCTGATGTTTCTTTTCAAATAAAGAGTTTTTAAGGGCTAGAGAGATGGCTCAGCAGTTAAGAGCACTGATTGCTCTTCCAGAGGTCCTGAGTTCAATTCCCAGCAACTACATGGTGGCTCAAAATCATCTGTAATGAGACCTGATGCCCTCTTCTGGTATGTCTCAAGACAGCTACAGTGTACTCATATAAGTGAAATAAATAAATCTTTTTTTTTTTAAAGAGTTTTTAAAATAAAAATCCAGAGAAACTGACAAATCAACCCTGTGACTTTGCTAGGAATGTAATATCTTCCTCATCCCTCCAGTTATGCTTAATAGAATTAAGTCTGAAAGAACTCTTGTTACAGTCATCCTGGGATTGCCAATAGTTTGTTATGTGACCTATGCCCCAGATAAAGAATCTGCCAATATGCCATCTGAGAGTCACAACCGTGCAGAATGAGGCCCAGCGGCAGCTCTCTGCAGAAAACCCTCTGATTTCCAATAAGAGGATTTTGTGGGTCATTTTTATTAGCTAGTCTTCTCTCACCTATGGCTGATCCTGGCTTCTTGAGATCTTAAAAAAAACCAAACCAAACAAAATAAAACAAAACAACAAAATCAGGAATAGAGAATGAGGCCAGCCCTTCCCTGCAGCGCTGTTCTTTTTATAGCCTGCTTGTTGCACTGCCACCATCACAGAGGCCAGGGAAGTTTCCTTGAGGGTTTGCCCAGCTATCTGAGTCACGTGGGCTGGGGCTCTTTTCCCTTGGACCTTGGCACAGTCAAGTGGAGGTGTGTCTTCAACGTGTAGGCTGTGAAGCTGCTGCCTTGGAAGAACAAGGATTCTTACAAGGGGAAGGGGAGCTTTCAGGTCTTACTTGCCACAATGACGGACAGAAGCCCTTTTGAGACAGACATGCTGACCCTGACCCGTTACGTTATGGAAAAGGGGCGACAGGCCAAAGGGACTGGAGAACTCACCCAGCTGCTCAATTCTATGCTGACTGCCATCAAAGCCATCTCTTCCGCTGTGCGCAAGGCCGGCCTGGCCAACCTGTAAGTCCTAGAGAGCATGCGCAGACAACCCTAATCAGGGTGTGGAAGCTACAGACAGGCATTTTGCGGTAGAAACTGGGTCCAAAGCTAATTTGCTTTTCGTGCTTATGTCTGCTTTGATAAAGCAGCCTTTAGCATGTTTTGCCAGGAAAGGGGAAAACTGCTTTGCAACAAACTCCAGAGAGAAGTGTGATTACTGGTTACTACAGAGTATAATGGTAACATTATAGTTTGTTGCCTCAAAACCTATACTGAATTCTCATTACTTATATTTGCACAGAGAGATTCTTACTGGGACTTTAAAATGTGTTCAGTTGTCATGACATGTGGGGTAGAAATAACCAGAACACAGATTTACAGGGCCTTGGCTGTCATGAAAAGAACCTGGTTCAATTTTCTTCATCTTCATGTGGTGTTCAGAAATCTCGACAGTCTGGGCTGGGCCGGGCAGAGCAAAACACCTTTGCTTGGTTCTCTATTGCAGAGTGGGGCCATGCTCATGCTGCAATGGCTGGTGGCCATAGCCAGGAATCTGGTTTTAAGGCACGATTAAGAGAAATCACCTCCTTTGGACTTCCATTTTGATTGTAGTATTTCCAGTGAAGGGACTCTCTGAAGTTGAAGGGGCATATATGTTTTGGGGGTGTGTGATGGAGAAAATCCCCGAAGAAGAGCCAGCAAAATCTACCTATTTAAAATGTCTATTCTCAACCGCATGGTGCCTTTATTCCCAGACTGTGACGGCATTAATTTCATAATTGCAATCATAAAACCACCACAGAGCTTACTATGCAAGTGTTTAGGTAGTAGGACCCAAGTTAAAGATGATTGACTCTTTCCCCTGCCTGTGCTTTCCCTTAACTGTGTGATTACCTCATTTGGTAAGAATGGCCAAGCGCTTGCTGCCTTTAAGAACATGCTTCCATGGAGCAGGTACTGTCCCTACAGGTGTTACATGTCTGTAGAATCTATTCCCCTAAGTGCACTCCCTTGTCTGGCCTCAGTAGAAGTGGATATGCCTAGCTCTGCAGAGATGATGTGCCAGAGTAGGGGGATACAGGGGTGGGGGGGGGGGGGGGCGCGCTGTCGCCTCCCAGGGGAGAAGCTGAGGGAGATGGGGCAGGGAATTTGTGAAGGGGGTCCAGGAGGAGGGGGGCAGTGGTCAAGATGTAAACTGTATAATTAAATAAATGAATGAAAAACAACAGAGAAGGAGGAGGAGGAGGAGGAGGAGGAGGAGGAGGAGGAGGAGGAGGAGAGAAAGAAGAAGCGGTTTCCAGAATGTGAAGTGCCTGCATGTGTGACGATCATCCCCGAGTAACATTAGATAGCATCTTTGCTGTTCTTGTGTTCCAGCTCTGCTATAATTAGGGCGGTTTCCTGTGACCACGCAGGACTTTTGCCCACACATTTACCTCTCCTCCGTGCAGGCCTCTCTGCCCCACGACAACTGTCTTGGGAGGGCTCCTTATGTATCTGCCACAGTCTGCTTTGCAGTGGTTCACCATCTGACTAAGAGCCCTTACAGAATAGATAGCTAGATAGTTAAGTGGTTTATTTAACTTGTTTTTTTTTTTTTTTTTTTTTAACCTTGTGGCTGTGGACAATGATTTATTCTCGCTAAGACCTCCGTGTTTGTAAATCTTGGCGGTACTAACAGTTTTAACGCAAAGATCTGTTATAAGGGTTAGTAAGTCATTGTGACTATGGTTCTGACAGTGCCAGACCCTGTGATAAATACCGAAGAAATGCCCCACTACTAGCTACCATGGTTCTGAGATCATTCAAGAAATTTAAAGGCTGGCCTATGTAGTGATTGACCACTAGGTGGCAGACTCACCCCCGAAGTGCTGTCAAAGATGGTCCTAGGTCTCTGGACCTGCTCTTCATAGTGGGAAAATCCTACCCTCCTCACACAGAAAGCAGCCACGGCTGGTGAGACAGGGACTGCAGGTGTCCTGGCCTTGTCCCATACAGCTGTGTCCAGTCTTTTGGCATCGTGACAGGACATCGTGGTTCACAGATGTGTTGGGCAGCATTCACGCACATGGCCGGTAGATGGCAGGCTGTACACGTTTGCTCAGCTCTTTCCCCAGCAGCAGCTGCTTACGTATAAGGCTGTGATCCCGATGCCGAGAAATCCAATTTAATTGTTCTCACTGTTTGCTTACATGCTGCTGTTTTGAACCAAGGGGTAACAGCCTTTGAGGTCATCATACCACACATCAAATTCTGGATGGGACTAAAGCGGGAGGGGAGGCCGTCAGTCAGGGAGAAGAGCGGATGCTTTTTATGGAGGTTAGCATCCATAAGCTCTCAACTAGAGCCACCTGTTCACATTACCTGAGGATTTCTTCAACCAATAAATTGAATTAAAATAGAGAGGAGAGGTTAAATGGGTTTTTTTTTTTTTGCCCACCCTTCTCCATAGTTCACCAAACATTTATTGCTCGTGTACCATGGGAATACAGGTTGCAAGACTTGGCCCTTGTCTTTAGCAAGTAGATGACGCAGAAAGGAGTCTTGCGCCATCATGAGGACATCTCGAGGTGTGCTGGTGTATAGAAGGGACATGGAGGGCTCTTGAGAAACTTATGAAGGTAGGTATGAGGCAGCACACTCTCAGGATGGCAGGACCAGAGATAAGGAGAGGAACAGCTACCCGGGGGCCAGAAGAAACAGGGTGTTTATGCTGGTGGAGTTGGAGCAGCCCAGACAGGACTTGACAGTCTTGCTGCTAGCGTGGAAGCATATCCATGCTGAGGATATGTGATGTGCCACCATGCCTGACACCCACGTAAGGACCCGGGTCTGAGTGCGGGTTAATTAGCTTCCCCATTGCTGTGATAAACACCATGACCAAAAGCAACTTGGAGGAGGAAAGAGTTTATTTCATCTTACAGCGTGCTATCATGGGTTGGGAATCAGAACAGGGACTCAAGACAGGGAGCCGGAGGCAGGAACTGAAGCAGAAGCCACGGAGAATGCTGTTCACTGACTTGCTCTTCACGGCTCACTCAGCCTGATTTAACCCAGCACCACCTGCTCAGGGGTGACACCATCCATAGTTGGCTGGGCCCTCCCACATCAGTCAGTAATAAGGAAGAATGGACGTTTCCACAGGCCAGTCTCATGAAGCAACTCCTTAGTTGAGGTTCCTCTTCCTAATGACTCTAATTTGGTTCAAATTGACAAAATTAAAGCAGCACAGAGTGAGATGAGACCTAAGTTATTGGGGACACCCTGAAGGCTCGAAGTGTGAGATCATCAATATTATGGCTCTAAAACACAAGCCCCTATAGAGAAGTTTGAGTTTAAAGCTTGATGTTCCAGTCAGTATAGAAAAGCTATGATCATTCACTCTTTGGTATCCTTAATTATCACGATGTGTCTGATTTTAGGGGCTCTCCTGACCCCTTTAGCTGCCAGTGCCAAGCAGGAGTCTGCATTTTAATGAGGCTGAATCTGGTTAACCTCCTTGGAAGACTAAGGTGACATGACAATGTCCCCAAGATGTAAAGAAAGTAACATTGAATATCACTGCTTTGAATCATAGCACACTCCCTATATATTTATAATTTGGAGATAGAAGAAGCGTGGGAGAGAAGGGTAAGTGTACTGTTGGTTTGGGCTCCGCATATTCTTTGCTGGGGTTAAGACTCCTTCAGTGACATAATCTACTGTGTCTTTTTAGGTACGGGATTGCGGGAAGCGTGAATGTGACAGGAGATGAGGTGAAGAAACTGGATGTGCTATCCAATTCCCTGGTCATCAACATGCTTCAGTCCTCCTACAGCACCTGTGTGCTTGTCTCTGAGGAGAATAAAGAGGCGGTGATCACAGCCAAGGAGAGGAGGGTGAGTCTAAGGCAGGTTGCAGTACCTCCCATTAGCAGTAGATGGTGCTACTGGGCTGAGGGAACGGGCTATTTTGCTTAGACTTTTTTCTCGGAGTGTCTTCTATTTTGCGATGATTGTTTTCTGGAAACAAAGCACGTCTCCGTTCTTTAGTTGGAAATCGTATGTGGTCTCATGTCCTTTTGGGTGAGTGTATGTCATCTAGTGCATCACTAAACAGGCCTTGGCATCATTTTGATAAACTTGGACTTGTAGAGTCCAGGAATAGGGAGGGTTTACTTGGGAAAGTCTTGACAAGAGCTGTACTCTGATTCAGTCTGATGCAGTCTCCGCCCCACCCCCACCCCCAGGATTTCTTATCTATGGCCTTCACTACCCTTGTACTGAAGAGGGCTATGATTCCTTGGAGGGGGTGGCTTTTTCCAAAAAGATTAGCCTGGCAAACAGACTAATCCAGAGAACACTCCATGATAATCCTGTGCTCTTGGCAGAGTTTGCTAGTGCACAGAGAGGGTTTACATTCAGCAGATTCACAGCGACTTATTAAAGACTGAAATTTACTGGTGGCCATAAATTCAGCCAACATTCAGTCATAATATTTTTCTGATTCGTTTGTGTCAATTTGACCCAAACTAGAGTCACCTGGGAGAGTCGCAATTGAGGTACTACCTCTATCAGATGGGCCTGGGGGCAGGTCTGTGGGATTTCTTAATTTATGATTGATGTGAGAGGGCCCAGCCTACCATGGGCTGTGCCATCCCTGGGAAGGTGGTCCTGACTTGTACAGGAAAGCAGGCTGAGCAAGCCACGAGGATTTCAAGCCAGTTAAGCAACATTCCTCCATGTCTCTGCTTCAGTTTCTGCTTTGGGTTCCTAACTTGGGATTTTCTCAGTAATGACTTGTGACCTTGGAGGTATAAATGAAAATAAACTCCCCCCACAAAGCCGGTTTTGATCTGAGTGTTTTATCACAGCAAGAGAGAAGCGAAAAACAAGCACTGTGTTGTGTGCTGAGCTACTTGTCCCTTGTCATACTCATTGGGAATTAAGGATAGGGCTATTTCTTTGTAATTGGTAGAAGAACTAAAAAGATAAAATCAAGTTTATTAAGCCCTTTTCACCTGTCTGACACAAACCACATAACCTCTATTATTTTCAGCTTTAAACTTCAACTACAGCGGCTCTTACACATCTCTTTCAACTATGATTGACTCCGTATTAGTTCTTGAATATATGCTAGCCCACTTTCTGTGCCAGGGGACTCAAATATCTGCTTGTCTAGCATTCTTCTCCCTAATTCTCTGTGTGCCCACTTTCCTTAATCACTGTCTGGTCTATCATCAGATTTTAGCTCTGTCTACTTTCTATCCACTCACCCGTTTAGGTCACCTATAGAGCATTTGTTTTTGATCAGTTCTACCATCTGAGCCTTGCAGAAGTGATAGCTAGTGTATTATTTTTCAGCTTACCCCAGACACATAACAAATAACCTGTTGAGCTATGTCCATAAGCAATGGCTTTTGGCATTGCAGAAACGGAAGGCCCATGGGTCTAACTAAATCTCTTGTTGGGACAGACATCAGTCACATACAGTCTAACATACAATTGTGCCAGTGGGTAGTTGTGCTGACTGAGTGCTTATCTCTCTGTGATTTAGGGGAAATATGTGGGTGCCAGTGGGTAGTTGTGCTGACTGGGTGCTTTTCTCTCTGTGATTTAGGGGAAATATGTGGTTTGCTTTGACCCACTGGATGGATCTTCAAACATTGACTGCCTGGCCTCCATCGGAACTATATTTGCTATCTACAGAAAGGTGAGTAGACAGGCTGGCATCTTTCCACTTGGCTCCTAGTCTGAAAACAGAGCCTGGAGTCCTATCTTTTCTTCCACCCACTAACCCCAGAATCACCTCTCTCCCTTCCCCCCATCTTGCATTCTTCATTGGGAATCTCCATCTACCTTTTCCCTGGGAAAAGTATTCCAGTATTCCCCTGGGAGAGAAAAATGGCAGGGGTCCCATTGGGACCACCTTCTGATTGTCTGGATGGAACTGAATATCCTTCATCAAAAATGCTAAGAACTATTGGGATTTCAGATTTTGAAATTTTTGCAAATACATAATGAGTTGTCTTGGGGATGAGCACAAAACTCACTTGTGTTCCTCATAGATCGTGTACCTATCAATTGCATGTAACTTTATATATGTTTTAGAGTACTCTAGACTGCAACCCAGGGTCAGGTATAGAATTTACCATGCATGAACTCATATTGGTACTTAAAAAGTTTCAGATATTAGAAGATTTTATTTATTCTATTTATTTATTTAAGCGGGGTCTTATTAGGTAATTCTAGCTGGCCTTGAATTTACAATATTCTTGCCTTAAGCCCCTGGATGCTGGAGTTACAGGGATGTGCTACCATGAGCAATCATAGCGATATTCCACCTTCACTAGGCTCTGAGCACACACATGCTCTACTTCCTAGTGAGACTCAATGCTTACTGTTAATTTTCTGTTGCTGCTGTGTAATTTAAGCCTCTTGCAGGGTTAAAATGTCTGTTGATTATCTTTTCACTAAATCAAAGAAGGCTTGGAATACCTATTGATTATCTCTATACTAAGTCAGAGGATTGCCAGCTTTATCTACTTAGGGCCTATAAACCAGCCAATCTGATGAGTTTTTCCGTATCTACAAGCTGAAGGGAGGACTGGGAAGAATTTGCTTCCAGGTGAGCTTAGGTTAATGTGAGTTTAGGTTGATGGTGGAGTTCAGTTCCGTTTTTAGTACATTGGAAGAATTTCTCTCTTTGCTAGGATCCCTTTTCAGCTTCTGGAAGTTGCCTGAATTTGGTCTGTGACTTGTTCATTTTTGAAGTTCACAAAGGTCCCAGGGCTTTCTCTCAGAATCTCTAAGATAGCTCCTCCTTGCCATTACTTCAGTCTTCTTGACTTGCCCTTGAGAGCCGAGTGAGTTCAAGCTTTCATTTGATTAGACTGGGCTAATATTATCCAGACAACTCAGGGTCATCTCTTTATTTTAAATCTATAGCCCCAGGCAAAATTCATTTTGCTCTGTAATACAACATAGAGATTCTGGGGGCTACTGTAATCTTGGGACTGTTCTGTCAACCCTACAAGGTTAATGCCAGAGGAAATCCTAAGGGTTGCCCAGCAACCATCTGGCATGACCATAAATTCCACATCAGCCTTCACAATCCGGACACTACTGGTCTGCACTCACATAATGGAGCCTCCACACATGACTTCCTTGTGTCATTTCTAGATCACAAACTCCCAAAGGAGCAGGAGACAATCACATGGAGCAAAAATAGCGTAGTGTTTCCAGAGTAAGTGATACTGAGACAAGGAATCAAAGGGGCTTTGTTTCTAAGAAGAAAGAAAGTAGGCAATACAGTTTGAGGTGAGGCACCCATTTGTATACTTAGGTGGTTTTCTGTGTGGGTTCTTTGGACATGAATCTTCTCTGCATCCTGCTTCTGGTGCTTTTCTATTGCTGTGACAAAACACAATCCAAAAGCAACTGTGAAGGAAAGAGATAATTTCATCTTACATCCCATCATTGAGGAAAGTTAAGGTAGGAACTCAAGTCAGGACCCTGGAGATAGAAAATAATAGCTGGGCAGTGGTGGTGCATGCCTTTAATCCCAGCACTTGGGAGGCAGAGGCAGGTGGATTTCTGAGTTCGAGGCCAGCCTGGTCTACAGAGTGAGTTCCTGGACAGCCAGGGCTATATAGAGAAACCCTGTCTCAAAAAACAACAACAAAACAAAACAGAAAATAGAATTTAGACAGACCATAGGGTAATACTGCTTATTGGTTCACCCACCTGGCTTGCTCTGCTATATTCCTTATATAGCCCAAGCTCGCCTGCCCAGGGATAGTGTCACACCCAGCGAGCTGGGTCCTCCACCATCAGTTAACAGTCAAATAAACATCCCCTAGACATGCCCACATTCCAATATGATGGAGACACTTCTTCAAACTGAAGTTCTTTCTTCCAAGATATGTTGAGTTGACAACCACCAAATCTGGGCTAAGTCTTTGCCTCAGTCCCAGGAAGTGGGTACAGACTTACACTGTCACCCCATTTTGTCCACTGTGCAGCATCCCATAAACCACTAACATGAATTTTTCAAAATATATGGTTTAAACATGAAGTGGCTGTGTTATCTTTTCACCGTGGTGATCAAATTCTTGATAGGATGAATACCTTCACAGGGAGGAAGAAGGCTTTGCCTTGGCTGTAGGTTTCAGAGGGTTCAATCTATGGTTACTTGGTCCCATGCACTGGGACAGACATCATCATGGTGGAAGTGTATGGTGGAGAAGATTCTTCATGTGATGGGGGACAGGAGCCAGAGAGAGACATAGAGAGTGGTAAGAGAGAGCCATCAAAGTCATAACCCCAGTCAGTGGCCTCCTTCCTCTGTGCCTGTCTTCTCATGTCTCTAATGAAAAGGTAGACTGCAAACACACAAATGAAGATGTACTGTCCAACACTGTAAAGTTTCCAGAATGTTCCCAAACAGTTCCATCAACTGTGGATCAAGCATCTACCTTACATATGAGCCTTTGGAACTAAGGACGCTTCATACCCAGTGCACAACAGCAGCCAAGTAGGTGGAGATGAAAGATCATATCTCAACTTTCTTTTCAAGGAGAAGGGTTGGCGATGCTTACTAGCTGAGATGTGTGAAAAACAATCACAATAGGCAAAACAAGGGAAGGCTACAGGCTTTTTGAAAAATTCCTTACAGAGCTCGGAGGGGCCGCTCCTGGTGAAAGAAGGGCTCTCCAGGCACAATAACGCACTGTGCATTTCTTCTTTTCTTCCACAGACCACAGAGGATGAGCCTTCTGAGAAGGATGCCTTGCAACCTGGCCGCAATATCGTGGCTGCGGGTTATGCACTGTATGGCAGTGCAACCCTGGTGGCTCTTTCCACAGGGCAAGGAGTGGATCTCTTCATGCTGGACCCGGTAGGCACTGAATACAGCGTCATTTGTTCTTGAGGACTCCATGAGCTTCTAAGTTTGAATTCTTGTTCCATGGAATAGTTTCCCAGTCATTCTGAGTACATGATTTTGGAGTTAGAGAACTCCATCATGCACAATATAAAGGACCTCATGCAATGTTTTGTATAAGTAAATTGTTTTAACAGAAACATAAAAAAAATTGTTTTTAATCCAATGGGTCCCATGTAATGTCCTGGATGTATAAATCATGTTAAATTTACCTCTTCAGATATTTACCTTTTTTTTTTTTGATGAAAACATTCAGTCTCTTTTTGTATAGCTTCTGGAGTAGAGTTTCTTTTCCACAAAGCATTCACCCTATTTACATGTTTAGAGAGTATCAAGAGGTATCAGTCCCAGACCAATGTCCAGATGAGACCATAGATCCTTAGAGCAGTCCTGTTCTTAAGCTTCTGTGAGACGATGGGTTCTGTACCCTGGTTCCCACTCCACTTCTGTGATGACTGAACACTTGAAGCATGGCTAGTATAAATGAAAGAAGGGAGTTTTACATGACTTAAAATATTAATTAAAGTAGGGCCCACATGAGTAGTGGCTTCACTTGTGGACAGCAAGAGCCTGGAGAATTTTCGCCAGTGTGCAGGAATTCCACAGTAGAGAGAGTGGCTAGAAAATGGTTCCTTCCAGTACTGTGTTATTCTCTTCACTGTTCATGATGACAGAGTGTCCAGCAGTAGGAAAGGAAGAGGCGTGGTCTCTAGACAGATGAGAGCCATGACAGCATAGTCCTGACCAAAGAAAGAAAAAGCTGGGTAAAGGCAGAATTTTTAAAAGGAAGGCTAAGCTTTTCTGAGGTGGGCAGATTAAAACAGAGAAAAACATTTAAAAATATTTCAAAATTATAAAATTTCTCCTTTAAATGACAGGAGATTCACCTATCAGTGGCCAGGTGCTTTGTTGAAGAGGTTGAGCTTTTATGAAAAATCCCAAATTATGACGAAAGACTGCTTCAGAGACTCCAGAATTCGCTTTAGTGGGAAACTCAGCATTTCACTTTAACTCAGGATTGCAAATATTTATTGAACGCCTTCAATACTCCAAAGAGCCACTCTAGACAGCAGTGATAAAGGCTCTCAGATGAAAATCCCAAAGTCAGCCACTGGGGCAACTGTATGATTTACCAGTGACTTCTCAGATATAAAAGCTTTTCATTATCAATCCTGCAGACCCAGCCCACTTCCTGTATCACTTTGCTAATGTCCTGGCTTCTCCTTTGTTTTTGAAGAAGAAGAAGAAAAGTCCTGAGAAATTCTTTGGTTCACGAACATGACCTTTGGGAATGATCCTTTTGAAAATTGTTCTACAATTCCAGCCTACAGTTAGACAGCACCACTTAAGTGTCAGGGAGGCACCTATTCTAAGCCATTTCCACCCACATGTGTCAAAGCAGCCCTATGAGGGACCATCCATCATTCTTGCTTGTTCCAGTTTTCTGAGGAGGCAGACAAGGTGCATTGAGTGACTGATTGACAGAAAAGAACCTGTTGGGATCATGTTAGTTACTGGCTGAATTCTGACCCTCTTCCTTTGACTATAAGCCAGATACCTTTGATCATATTCTGAAGAGGTTCTGGAGGCCCTAGGACACACAAAGCCGACTCTGGGACAAATAGGCAATCTTCTGCTCTTGGAGCCATGACAGCCTGAACAGAGGTCAGCATGAGGTCAGCATGAGAACTTGTCTCTGTGTCTGAAAGAGATACAGACCGTAACATAGTCTTCCCAGATCTGTCTTTGAGCCACACTGCACCGCAGAAAATAAGTTTCACAATGAGAAGTATATGAAGCTTTTGCACTCTTTGAGATGAGGACTTCAAACTGAAGGAGTGTTAAAGTTAATATTTAAATCTGTGGCACCCAATCTGCCTTATGGGGCATCATGTTCCCAACTAGGCAAAGCCTGAGGCCACGAGTGGCAGCCTGTTCTCACTGCTGGCGCAGAAGTACCAGCCCTTGCACCCATGAGATGCCAGCATGGGAGATGGCTCTGCCAATCTCCCATGCTGTCTCTACAAGGCTAGGTTGAGCCCAGACCATCCTGCCATCCACATGGTACCCGGTAGAAATGAAACTCTAATGATTAGAGATTATCCAAATGCTTTATATGTTTGACAATGCTCAATTAGCAAGATGCCCACACAATTAGAGGTGTGTCCCAATATCTAACCTTATGATATAAGCTGTTACCCAGGACTGCTCTCGATACAAGCATGGTCCTCCATGGCTCCTACATCTCTCTCCACCTAGCTCCTCCTCTTCCTCTCATTACTCCTCCCACATTAGCTCCTCCCAAATTACCGAGTTTATTGTAAATGTTACAGGGATGGGGTGGGGGGTAATATCCTGCTACAAAGGAGCTTTGTCAGTTGTAAATGGTAATTCCCTCGAGAGTGACCAACAGGTTCTACAGCAAAGTTTACAGAAGATTGTTCTCTGGTGGGTAGGCCAGATCTTGCTGGATGCAAGGATTTGCAGGCTGATAACTTGATTTTGTTGGATTGAATCTTTTGTTCAGGCACAGAGGGATTCATATATTTTAACTAAACTCTCAACTGAGGAAACAAACTCCAGCCTCAGGGAATTTGTTTGTAAGTAAGAGATAGTATGTCAAGTTACAAGGGCCTGTACACACATGCATATAGGTGTGTACACAGAAACACACATGCACTTGAATACACAGGTGTGCACACGCATGAACAATCAACCCTCACACACAAACACACACACTTGTGCACATACACACAGATGAACACACAGGTATACATACACATGAGCACACAGGTGCATACACGCAAACACCCCTCACACATACATGATCACACACACACACACACACACACACACATAAAGGAGATGAATTCAATAAATATCAGACTATCACAAAGTGAAGGTGCCCACAGTGGCTGATTGATGTCAGGAACCAACGACTACCAGGGGCACATTTTACTTACAGTAAAAAGAAGTTGGCTTTCTTTGCAAGGGGATGGAGATGTGAAAGGGAGCTGGGTGGGTTTGTTTTAGCGCTTGGTGATTCTTAGGGAGAATTTGAGGAGGAATAAGTCAGTTCTAAATGAGATGCTGTCTAGATGTGGGTGAAATTCAGGACTGAGTATCTTCATCTAGTTAGTGTCCTGCGGGCAGGGACATTAGGGAACACAGACTCACTGAAAAGGAAGCAGCTTCACTCACTGCTCTTTGGCAGGAGAGAAGAAGAGATAGATATTTCTGCAGTTGCTGAGTTTTCTAGTCTCTGTCCTGTTTCAGACATGATTGGCATAGCTTTGTTTACATATTTGGGGAGTAAAGCCAATATTCCGTGGGCAGCTTCTAGCCTGGCCATCAGCTGTGAACCCTTACCTCAGTCCTTCATATTCTTGTCACCAGCATTAACACAGGTCAGGTTTCCAGGTCCTAGAGACAGTAATGTTTAATGCAATGCCTGCCTTACCAGTCCTTAGGGAGGTGATAACCAGAACTAGGTGGAGAGTTGCTTGAGGGATGCTCTTCAGGGACTTGGGGCATTGGGCACAGGTTTATTAACAATTATGAGGGCTCTTTTTGTTTTTGTCATTTATCTCCTTTTGTAGGACGAACCTAGTAATGGACTGGAGGCATTTCTTTTTTGTTCTCCAGTAGAAGTGGCTAGGAAACCAGGAAATAGTAATGGGTTTCAAGATAGAACCATTAACATAAAATACTCAAACCACAAACTAATAGTAAAACCGTATATATCTATTATCTATGTAGGTTTTTTTTTTCTATCATTGTTGGCTCACTGAAGTCATTAGACTGGAGAAGAGAACCTAGGGATTAGGTTAACTAGGTTGCTTAGAAATGACATTGAAAACATGGAGGAAAAGGAAAAAGATCATGGCCTCTTTCCTTTGATTTGTTTTATTCTTTATTTTATTACTGCTTGGGCCTCTGTGAAGATGGCATATCATCTTATTCTTCCTGTCACTTATGAAGACACCACATGGCAGGTTCCAGATGACTTCAGGGAAGCCCCAGGTCCTCCTAGCAGGCTGATGTCTTCTAACATCTTCTGATTGTTGTATGATGTGCTACTGTCTTCTGTTTCCTGGCATGGGTCATCTTCCTCAAGTCCCTTGTCTCCTCAGGCTCTTGGAGAATTTGTGCTAGTGGAAAAAGATATCCGGATTAAGAAGAAAGGGAAAATTTTTAGCCTCAATGAGGGCTATGCCAAGTATTTTGATGCTGCTACCACTGAGTATGTACAGAAAAAGAAGTTCCCTGAGGTGAGTGAAGACAGCCTGGGCCACTGGCCAGGAGCAGTCTGTCTCTGTGATGTGCTATGTGTGTGACTTCTTCATCTCTTTAAAGGGGTTGATGCCACGGTTTCCAATTCTTATATGCACAACTCTGATGGACTCTGCCCTTCTTCATAAATAATCAATCTTCTTTGTACCTGAAAGTGACATATTAAAATGAATACTGCCCTATTCAGTCCCTCTAGGAATTTGTCAGCTGCCACATTTTCAGAATTCATAACTTCAGCCAGAACCACTCTCAGGTCATGTTTGCTCAGATGTAATCGATAGATATTGAATACCCAGTCACTGTGCTTTAAGATGGAATATAATCATATCAGTTTACAGGCTATCTTATCATGATCTTGCTGTTAACCATGGGGAATCCCATGTTGTCATTATTGTTTGTGATGCCAGGGCTCCAAGTCAGGTCCTTGCATATATTTTGCAAAAGCAGTGATGGACTAAGCTGTTCCCTGCCCTCACACCTCCTCACAGTATAGAGAAGAATGGAGAGAAAAATATCTACCTGCTCAACAACACAATCTTTCCTTGTCTTTCTGTGTGTGTGTTTATAGAGGGCTGTGTGTGTGTGTGTGTGTGTGTGTGTGTGTGTGTGTGTAGTTATGCCAGAAAATATCTTGGACACAGTTCCTTGGATGCTATCTTTTTTTCACCAGTCTGGAGCTTGCCAAGGAGGCTAGGCTGGCTGGCCAGTGATCCCATGGAATTTTCCAATCTTTACCTCCCTGGTACTAGAATTCCAAGCATGTATCTGCATACCCCAATTTTATGTGAGTTTTGGAGATTGAACTTCTGGATGCAAGCACTTACGTAACTTAGCTATCTTCTCTGTCCCACATGGTCTTTAGTTTTTGAATAATTCTTAAAAATATTTTATTTTATGTTTATGAGTGTTTTGTCTACATGTGTATCTGTGTACCAGTTGCATGATTTGTGCCAATAGAGGACAACAAAGGGAATTGGGTTCCCTTGGAATTGGAGTTGGAGATGGTGTGAGCTGCCATCTGGGTGCTAGGAGTGGAACCCGGGTCCTCTGGAAGAGCACCCAGCACTCTTAATCATTGAGGCATCTCTCCAGGCCCAGGAACGCAGAGGCCCTTTTGGCTTCTAACCCCGGCACTGGTGTAGGCTAGCTGCTAAACTTGATGGTTCTGATCTCTTCCCTTTTTGCCCTTTAGGATGGCAGTGCACCTTATGGGGCCAGGTACGTGGGTTCCATGGTAGCTGATGTGCATCGCACCCTGGTCTATGGAGGGATCTTCATGTACCCAGCCAATCAGAAGAGTCCTAATGGCAAGGTAACTTTCTGCGTCCACTGGCTGCCATGATAGTCAGTGAGCCACGGGGATCTTTCTGCTCCTGGTGTGCTATACGGCTACTGAGCTGCTTCTGCGCATGCGTGTTCTTCAGATCACAGAGGAAGAGACGTAAGGTCTGTTCCTTTCAGAGAGTTTTGAAGCTGTGGTAGCTTTGAGGAAGGAAAGGCTGATACGATTACAACTGGCGAGTCTTGCAGACCCCCTCCTCTGATTTCATGTCCATTGTTTGCTATAGTCACATGCTCATCTCACTCTGTAGTCACGTGCTTATCTCTCTCTCTGTAGTCACGTGCTCATATCACTCTCTCTGATGTCAGATGCTGATCTCTCTCTGCAGTCAGGTGCTCATCTTGCTCTCTGTAGTCATGTGTTCGTCGCTGTAGTCACATGCTCATCTCTCCCTGTAGTCACGTGCTCATCTCTGTAGTCATGTGTTCTTCTCACTCTGCAGTCAGGTGCTCATCTCTCTGTAATCATGTGCTCATCTCTTACTTTCTCTAGAGTTACAGGCTCATTCATATCTCTCTCACTTTTGCAAGCTGTGTCTGATTTTTATAAACACTAGCTGACCTGGGACCATTGACCCCAAGGAATCAATCCATTTTCCAGAGAAAAATATTTTGTAAGCATGGTCTTTGCACCTGTTTTGGAGGCTTTGTGTGTGTCCTGAGCTCCACAAGAATTGTGAATAATGGTGTCTATTCAGATCCCCTTCCCTGTCTCTAGAAAAGCAGCCTCCAGAAGAACCAGTAACAACTTTATGATACAATATTGAGAACAGCCACTATCAAGTGGGAGTCTCACAATCCAAATTCTTCTATCATGGCAACAACTGCCAACAGAAATGTATCTGTATTTTGGCCAGCCACAGAAATCATAGAGAAGCCATGCATTGTCATCTAAGCTGACTTTTGAGATTTCCATTATTGGAGTACCAGATTCAAATCGAAGATAAGAAATTTATGACAGTCTGTGAGCTTGAATGCAGACTGTCACACACAGGTTTGTGTATCTGGCACCTCTCTTTGTGAGTGTTTAGCTCACATTTACCGATCTGCTGACCTCATGATTACAGAGAAGTCTACACGAGAGGGCCACAGGAAAGAAAAGCTCGGCAGAGGATCCAGTGAGATTGTGCAGAAGATGTAATGCTCTTGAATAAACTCAAACTTTCCACCTGCTTAATTCCAGCACAGACATGTTTATTAGAATGACTGTGAATGAGCCTGAAAACGTCCACACATAATTACATAAATGTGTCCTGAACACACAGGCAGATAGAGATGTGTTCACTGCGTCATGACTGCCATCTAGACTGAAGATACCCTCAATTCACCATCTCCATGTTTTAGCTCTCTGTGACCACATCACTGTGTGCAGGAGCCTGTGTGTGTCTGCATGAGCCTATGTGTGTGTGCATGAGCCTGTACATGAGCACAGAAAACAGGGATGTGAGTGTGCACATGTGCACATATACATGCACATGAACATGTTCATGCACACGCTCATGCATAGCATACACACATGTCCATGTTCATGTGTATGTGCACATGCGCACACTCACATCCCTGTTTTCTGTGCTCAACTCATATGGCTGTGATAGATCTTAAATGCCTCCCTTACCAATAAAAGGAGACCACATGACCCAAAGCACCATGAATTTTTTTTCTGGTGAAGGCTACTTGTATATAATCAAGGTATCTGAGGTCCTCGCCCTTAAAATTGCATCATGTGCTAATGGTGAGCTTTTAAAATAGAACTGAATTGACAAACTGCTTATAGTCTGACTTATAGCCCAATGTCCAAATCTTCTCTATCCTCAAGACCCCTAGACAGAGAAAGAGAGGAGCAAAAGAGCGAACTCTAGAAGCACCTAAGATAAAGTTCCACCTGGCTGAACTGTCAGGACAGAGTAGCTGCCAGTGTCCTTCCTGTGGATAATCAGGGACAAAATTAGCTCCCAGGTGTGTTCATATGTGTTAGGTCTTCTGTCAGGTGCCTGCTACTGTGAGGGTCTCTGGGGAAGGCATCCTAAGTGTTTGGTTGACTTGTTAGTCACTTCCCCTAGAGTCTGAACCTGCCGAGTCTTCAATGTCTCTGGCTCTTCAGCCTTGACTGAAGACATTTTGTTTGTATCTTTGAGATAGCAGCAGCAGCAACACCAAAATTAAATAAATAAATACATAAATGCCAGAAAACAAACAAATGAAAAACCAAGCATGTCACATAGGCATAGATGTTACCAGACAGTTATGTTGCTTCAGGTAAACCTGGTCAGTGGTGCCTCTTGAGAAGTTACTAGCCCACGGAACCCAGAGGTGGGTAACAGCCCATTCCTAGGCTCCTTGTGGGCCTAGGAAAACACTCACACCCAGGATTCACACAGACAGCTCAGCAGTTCACACTGCTGTCAGTATTTAGGGGCATGCCTTGTGGTGTATCTGACCACTTGAAAAATGTATACGGCTATCCCCTTTTCTTCTTCTGCAGCTCCGGCTCCTGTATGAATGCAATCCTGTGGCCTATATCATCGAGCAGGCAGGAGGCATGGCAACCACAGGCACCCAGCCTGTACTGGATGTGAAGCCTGAGAGTATTCACCAGCGAGTCCCCCTTATTCTGGGATCCCCAGAGGATGTGCAAGAATATCTCAGCTGTGTGCAGAGAAACCAGGCAGGCAGGTAGTGAGCCTGAACTCATGAGCCCGCTTCCCTTTGTCTTTGTCAAATGAAAAACTAGATGAATGATCAATTGGAGATGGGAGGAAAAGAAAACAAGCCAAGGGAGACAGGTCACTTTCAGAACAGCGCCTTGCTGCTAAGGACAGGGTTAGAAGCCAGAGGTAAAGGTATGTTTGAAGGGCTAAAATAAAAATATGAATGTGAAAAGAACTCTTTTCATGTGTCTTCTGTCATGAACAACAATCTAAGTGGGCAATATAGGCCAGGGACTCCCACTCCTCAAACTCAGAGCTAGCGGCTACCCATCCCCACTCCCCAGGGAAAAGGCACAGGATCAGTCAAGGAGTGTATGAAGCTTAACTTAGGCTCTTCCTCTGCCCACAAACATAACGTATGCAGATACATATGCATATGCCGGTTATGTTGGGCAGGTTTTGAATCAGGAATCTCAAGCTACTAAATGCTGAGTCTCTCACTGAACCCCTTTCAGTCTGTGAGTTGAATGGCAAGCAACAATAGAGAAAATGAGGCCACCTTTCCACCAAGCCACATATGACTTGGAGTCTATACTGAAACCGAATGCTTACAGTTTTCAACTTTTGCATGTTCATTTTTGGGGAAATAGTATAAGAGACCCTAGAGTAGTGGCTCTCAACCTTCCTAATGCTGTGGCCCTTTAATACAGTTCCTCATGTTGTGGTGACCCCCAACGATGAAGTTATTATGTTGCTATTTCATAACTAATTTTGCTGGTGTTGTGAATTATAATATAAAATCTGATATGCAGGATACCAGATATGTGACTCTTATGAAAAGGTCATTTGACTTCCAAAGGGGTCGGGAGCCACAGGTTGAGAACCACTGCTTTAGAGTCTAACAGAAATCTAGTCAAGCTAGTCAAATGGCTCCACTCTTGATCAATTTGTGTCAAGAGTAAACAAGTATATGCCTCTAAGACCTCAATTTGTTTGAAAGATAGTTGCTATGTATGTGCATAAACTTGGGATATATATATATATGTATATGTATATGTATACATACATATATATGAATATATTTATATATTCATATATATTAAAAATCAAACAATTATATATATATTTAATTGAACAATTCAATTTGTAAAGTATTTGCAGGTACACAACAGCATACTAATACACACTTTAAAAATTTTGGACTTTCCAATTTAGTGTTTTCCAACCATAATATAGGAAATCTTAGGAAGAAATCACAACTGGAGCTCTTTCTCTCTTGCTCTCTCTTGATCTCTTGCCTTCTTGCTCCCCGGTCCCCTCGTCCCTTTGACACCTCTCTCTCTTTGCTCTTTGTCTGTCTGTCTGTTTCTCTCTCTCTCTCTCTCTCTCTCTTTCTCTCTCTCTCTCTCTCTCTCTGCCTCTACCTGGCTCTACTACCCTCTTAACTCCCCTCCCCGTGCCCTGAATAAACTCTATTCTATACTAAAACAAACAAACAAACAAAACCACAACTGGAGTGGAATTCTGACTTGAGAACTGGGAGAACCATGCACCTTTCTCCTAGAATATCAATACCACTCGCTTCTGTCTTCAAGATAAATTACATATAAGACACTAGACAAAAACAGGGGGGGAAAGCCAACTTAATTTTGTTTCATTTTTAAGGATATAATCTTGTATAGCTTCTTGAAAATGAAAACTCAGAACTTTTTCCCTAGAGTAGCAATAGGGTTCAGTAAGTAAACATCACAAATTCATACCACAATGCGGACCTTCAGTGACTCAGCTGCCATTCCCCACAGAGCAGTGCCTGGCTGTTCTGTGAAGGGGAACACCCTCCTCTGTACACACCCATCGACAGTCTACTCCTTCCTTTGTACTGTACCGCAGCTCACACAACAGGAACAAGTATTTGAAGAAATTCCACAGTTGTTTTTCCTGTCTTTGGCCATCTTTACGTAGCCAGTCTTCACCCCAGCCTAGCTTGAAGAAAAGCATGTTCACCACTAAACGGAAAGAATACACAACCTTCACACACCCATCTTCCTAAAGATCCAGAGAAGGCGGAGGGTCAACTCCTGAATACCAATGGTTGTATCACAGAAGATTGTGAAAACCACCCTGGAGCACAGACAGGATATCTCCCACCCACATGTGGCTCAGAACCAGAAACGCAGTGGTGCGAATTCCATCACAACCCTGCAAACCATGACAGAGTCTTAATGTTATGACCATACACTGGTAGTTTGGGATAGAGCTGCTGAGATCTGCAACAGAAGCCCCTTTGGAATTTGAAGCATAAAGATTTCTGGCAATCTATACTTGTTCTTGACCAGCCAGTATTCCTTCCTGTCAGACTCTGCCGATCTGCAGAGCAGTGGTCCTGATCCTGACTGATGCACTTTGCATTGAAATAAATGCCTCAGATGCCCAGAAAATAATACCAATAAATGTCACAATGTGACTGGTGATGGTGTGTACAGAGGAGGGTGTTCCCCTTCATAGAGCAGCCTCTGCTCTGTGAGGAATGGCAGCTAAGACACTGAAGGGCTCTGTGTGGAATGACAGCGGAGTCACTGAGGTGAGAGACTCCAAGCACCTCACAGTGATCTGTTGCCACCAACAGTGAAAAAGATATTTTGGATGAGTTTATTGACATGACATAAACTCCAGATAATATTTAAAAGCCAGATCCATTGTTATCAATACTTCTGCTAGAGCAATGGCTCTCAACCTTCCTAATGCTGCCACCCTTTCACACAGTTCCTCATGGTGTGGTGACCCTCAATCATATTTTCATTGCTACTTCATAACTATAATTTTGCTACTGTTAGGAAGCATAATGTAATATCTGATATGCAAGATATCTGGTATATGACCCCTATGAAAGGGTCATTTGATCCCTCCAAAGGGATCAAGACCCACAGGTTGAGAACCACTGTACTAGAGATTATCACAAAAACTACAGAAATGCAAATTAACATAGATCTTTTTGCAAGACATTTTTCTATGTGCACATAAAACTGCTCCTTAAAACCCTGTATTTTACCGGGCAATTGGTGGCGCACACCTTTAATCCCAGCACTTGGGAGGCAGAGGCAGGTGGATTTCTGAGTTTGAGGCCAGCCTGGTCTACAGAGTGAGTTCCAGGACAGCCCAGGCTATAAAGAGAAACCCTATCTCGAAAAAATCAAAACAAACAAACAAACAAACAAAAAACCCTGTATTTCTACTTAGAAAACATTAGTCGAAAAGGAAGAGCGTAAAATTACAGGAATGAAAATCATTAGTAAAAATCTTGAAGACCCAACAATTGGAAAAGATTTTGCGAAGCCATCCAGTAAGTGATGTAGTTATTTTTAAAAAAGATTTATTTATTTTTTTGTATATGAGTACACTGTAGCTGTCTTCAGACACACCAGAAGAGGGCATCAGATCCCATTACAGCATGTGGTTGCTGAAAATTGAACCCAGGACCTTTGGAAGAGCAGACAGTGCTCTTAACCACTGAGCCATCTCTCAAACCCAAAAGATTTGCTTATTTGTTTTATGGTGATATAGCTATTTTTTTTTTTTTAAAAAAATGAAGAACTAATGCCCACAGGGATGTGCGTACATCATCGCCAAGTGGAAACTGCACACACAGCTGCTGCATACAACACCTGTAAGTTCCATGGAACTAAACACATGAACTTTGTTGTACAAGGAGGTCCTCAAGCTGCTATGTCATGTGACATTACAATTGGCCTAATAAACAAGATGAGCTGGATCTTAGAACCTTCCGCCCCCATACTACTATCCATTTCAAAAGCATTAAAATAACATTAAAAAAATAACATTACATAAGCTAAAACAACAAAGGCGTATCTGCTGGCTTTCGACTTGTTTCTGTACAGTTGTGACCTAAGGCAGAAGAGAGGAGAGAAACTGGGTGTCTCTTCCAGTGATGGCCAAAGTGTGAATGTGCCACATTTTCCCTTTATCAATTTGTATTCTAATTATTTTAAAAGTGGCAGCTTTACAAATCTACAGGCCGTCCCGTAACACTCTTTCTTATGACTTGAATGATTTACTATGGAAAACAGAATGTCTGAGTCAACCGTCTTAAGAGCCCCGGCAGTCAGTCACTCTGTGCTTAAGGCTAGTGAGGCATTGAATAATTGCCTTAGGCATCATTTTGTCTGTCTGTCACCTTCCTGTACTTATGTTTGCCCCTTCTCTTTTTCCTGTGTTTCAGTTTTATTTCTACTTATTTTTTTCCTTTGTTCTATTTTTTTTGTTTTAGTTTCCCTTTACACATTTATCTAATCTGTCTAAACATTTTTCTTTATTGGTTAACTAAATGAAAAAAAAAAAAAAAAACAACAACACATCTTTTGCCCCCCTTCTCCGTGTGTCTCTGTCTCTCTTTGCTATTTTTCTTGGAAAGAGGATCTCACTATCAAGCTCTGTCTGCCCCTCTCCCCCACCCCTTTGAGATTCAAGTCATGAGCTACCACACCCACTTCTTTGTTTCGAGTGTATGTGTATGGGGGTGGGGGTGGGAGAGCGCATGTGCAAGTGTATTTGTGTGGGGACGGAAGAGTTTGTCCTCAATCATTTTGAGGACGGGACTCTCCCAGAGCCTTCAGCTTGCATTTTCTCAGCTCATCTGGTAGCCAGCGATTCCTCACAGCTGGGAGCCGTTTTGCTTCCTGCTGTGAAAGCCTGTCAGGCAGAGTCAAGTCAGGCCAGGGTCTACGGGCAAGTTTCCTGGCCTGCTGGGGCATGGAATGATAATGATCCGACACCCTCTTCTCTGGTGTGTCACTCACTCACACATGAAAAACATTCTCTCTTACACATAACATCATACACATGAAAATAGGGACAGACATGTTTTGAAAAGTGCTAATATCTTATGATGCAATTAAAGCAAAACGAGCAAGTTTATGTGTATAATAGAAATCATACACTGTTTTCCCTTATCTGTTATTTTGTACTTTTTAAAGTTTCCATTTCATAAATATGGTATACATTTAACCTCTGATCATCATCAATCATAGGCAGCTACATGAGTTCTAAGTCATCCTGCTAGATATTTTTTCTTCTTAACATAACAGAGTGAGGAGGAATTTTTAGTAGTCAACCCCATTGCTTCCAAATTTGAAATATCAGAGTCCTTAATCTCTTCAGTGTGTTGGAATAGCCTCCACTCCCAACCCATCTCACATGATTGTCAAAAGAGAGAACCAAAATGAACAGGATAAGTGCTGGCCAGTGATTTTGTAATTTTCATTCTGATTATAATCTTGCAGTTCTTATTTAAACGACCATGCTAGATTCACAGGTCAGTTTTTGTGTTTCCTTTTTCCAGTGCTGCCATCTATGGTGTATGATTCATGAATTATAATCTAATTATATTGTTGTTTCTCTAGGAAATGATAAACTTTCACCTCTTTTGATCTTCTGATGATTTACTAAGTTAAAAGTCCCTTGAGTGTTTGTTGGTTTGGGAACTTTCTATGGAAAAACAGTTTTAGTTTTCTCTTTTTAACCCAAAAGGATTGTCTCTCTCATTTCTTGTAAAATCTGTGTTTTCCAGTTCTTGCAGTAATCAATGTTTGGATTCTTAATACTTAAGTGACTAAGTTTGGGGTTCTTAAGATTTTCTCATATATTACTGTCTACGTCTCCTAATTTAATTAAATTGTCATTATTTCAGAACGTTCAATCATTTGAGGGAACTACAATTGAGAGGATGCTGCAGTCAGAATGGCTGTTTGCTAACTTTATGAGAGAGTATGGTGACTGACAATTGACTGGTGAAGGCTCTTCCATTGAGTGTGGAAGAATCTCTAAGGAAGTGGGCGTGGGCTGGATGAGAGAGCTAGCTACCTGAGCATGAGACAGTGATCAAACAAGAGAGCAGGCCAGGAACAATGTTTGCCCATGGTTTTTACTTTGATTTTGGAATTTGAGTTCCGATCATAAGCTTCCTAAATAATGGAATGTGGTCTGGAAAAACCAGCCAAACAAACCTGTTTGTTACTTGAGACACCTTTGCTTTTAGGATTTAATCAGAACAGTTCTAACATGCAAGTTAGAGAAATAAAATAGTAAGCAAAATGTGTTTGCTTAGATGCAATTCCTTATTGAGATGGGATTTAAGTGTCTACAGACTTAAATCCATTTCCTCTTCTTTCTGTTTATTCAGTTTTGACTGAAATCATCCTTCAGCTTCCTTCTCATGTCCTTCCTTCCTGCCCTGCCTTCCCTATAATAGACTCTGTCTTTAAATCGCATAAGATCCAGTAGAAGCGATAGCTAACTATCAGTGCTAAACTATTTTCCTTTCTTAATGTTTTCTTTCTTTCTTTCTTTCTTTCTTTTTTTTCGAGACAGGGTTTCTCTGTGTAGTTCTGGCTGTCCTGGAACTCACTCTGTAGACCAGGCTGGCCTCGAACTCAGAAATCCACCTGCCTCTGCCTCCCAAGTGCTGGGATTAAAGGCATACGCCACCACCACCCAGCAGATTTTTCCAATTTTGGACATATTATCATTCTATTTCCCAGGATGGTACTGCTCATGGCTATGATACTGCTGAGCCTCCTCAGCCATTGAATGGCAGGTGCTGATCTTCTCTCTACCTGATGTGGTTGTTGAGACTTTATGGTAGAAAGTCTATGAGTCTTTTGCCTGAATGCATGAATATTCACCTCATGTGTGCCCAGTCCTCACGGTAGTCAGACGATGGCCTGAGACCTCCTGAAAGTGGAATAATGGATGGATAACTGTGGCCCCCTGTAAATACAGGCAATTGAGCTCACTTATTTTCAGGACTAGAAAGAGTTCTTCATGTAGTGTGGAGCCTTTTAACTACCCATTCTTAAGCTCCAGACAGACACACTACCAACCTCCACTCTGGTTTTGGATCCATGGATGAAAGTCACACACAGACACACAGACACACACAGACACACACAGACACACACAGACACACACACACACACATATGCTCACTGCCTTATAGCTCAGTGGCTGGGCTTTTCCATGCTTCTCACAGCTACTGTGTCCTTTCTTTAATCCTTGCTCAACACCCTAAATCTGCTGTCAACTTAGTTGCATTTCTAACCTCCCACCTGGGGAAGTGGCCAATGTCTACTCTATTGGGGATATCACATGGATGGTGACTCCCTCTTCTTCCCAAGCATGAGCAATCTCCCTTTCCTGCCTCCTGCCTCTTTCCTCATCTTTCAGAACCTGGAATTCCTGCCTCTTCCACCCATCCATTGGCTGCTGGCAACCTTATTGATCAATCAAGAACCAATTGGAGACTAGGACCTTCAGAGTTTACAGGTGGAATACCAGTCAGAGCATCAGAGCCATGCCCTAGACTTCACTGCTGAGCTATCTCTCCTGCCCTATGTTGTTTACCTCTAATCAACATTAACATTGCTAATATTTTCTTCTGTCCAATTGTAACTATTTAAACCTATATTCCTTTTTGGTACCTTTTAATGTTATAGTTTGAACTGGTGCACGTCAAGTTTCTGGAAAATGAATATAGAACTAGATTGTATGTATCACTCTCTTAAGAATTTAAGTAAAAACCTATGAGTTCTTTCTAACTTTCTGGTTTGGTTGATTAACTCTGGCAAGGAACACAGGGTCTTACTATGTAACTTTGGCAATCCTAGAACTCATTGTATACACCACAGTGGCAACCAACTCAATGTGATACTTCTGCCTCTGTCTCCAGACTGCAGTGTTAAAGGAATAAGCCAATAAACCCAGCGTGCTTATTGATTTTTATAGTTAGTAATTGTTAATGTTAATACAATTTCTTTGATGTATGGTAAACTCTATTGATCTTGTAGAGCTTGTCTGTTCTTTATATCTGTAATTGACATTTCTCTAGAAAGGCTGGATCCTATCCAAAGAGCTGAGAAATGACAGGGGTGAACCTCATTATTAAGTTTCCTTCTAATATCACTTGGTAGTTACAGTAGAACTTTGGTGTCAGGAAATAAGTGGGGCAGGCCCCAGAATTATATGAATACATTGTCTATAAAGAAGACATGCCCAATGTTGTCTCTATTGTGCTTTCTTTTATACTCGTGTATATGATATTGTAGAGTGCAGTGACTTATGAGAACATGCATGTGACCTTCACTCAGGAAGAGTGGGCTTTGCTGGATCTTTCCCAGAAGAAGCTCTACAAAGATGTCATGCTGGAGACCTACAGGAACCTCAGTGCTATAGGTAAGACTGTGAATTCCCTTTCCTGTTTTAAAATTTGAGAAAACTGTTTCTTTCTTTTGATGTATTTCTTTAATTTCAATTGAGCTGGGTGTAGAATTTGGTGAGTAAATCATGCATAACTCTGAGGTTCACTGAAGATAGTAACTTACATTTGGCCTAATTTCCATACATACATATTCTGTTACTCTATTTTAGGATTTTATTGGGAAGACCAAAATATTGAAGAACATTGTCAAAGATCTAGACGACTCAGAAGGTAATTTTCATGTGTAAGCTCATACAAATATGCCTGTGAAGAAATTTTAATGTGTGTTAAAACTTTTAAAGAAAAACAGCAGTATAAATAAGCACGACTCTAAGTGTATAGATAATTGTTACATTCTGACAAAACCATGTCCCTCAATGTCCTGTATCTGATTTGTTTTTGCAAGGCATTTTTTAGGAAAGAGGACATAGAAACAATGCTTTAGTATATATCTCCATTTGAAGCATAGCCCTATTAGAGCTACACTGTACAACTGGCAGTTCGTTTCTTTTTATTATGTAAAAGCTATACACATTAAATCAAATAGTCTATAGTAAATCTAGCGATGCTCGTATATTAGTAGTGACATTGCTAAGTTTATTGAGATATTGCTAAGTTTATTGAGACAAGCAGCTTATGGGAGTTAAGACTGATGTTGTGCGGTAACCTTAGTCCCTATATCACATGTTTATGAGGAACAAAATGTTACACTCTGTGAGTGCAGCGTTCAAACTTTTTATTTGTTAGTCATCCTTTCATAGATATATGTCATAATAGATACAAGTCATGTGTACATAAGGGATATTGAATAACGTAGTGCACTCCCATCTGTCTTTCAGAGTAATTAGAAGATATGTATTGGGTTGTTGTTAAGGTAGAATTTCTGGTTATCCAAATTTCATATCATTGGTTTTTCAACTTCACTGGCAATACATCAGAAACCTCATTCTGTAGAAAATTCTCTTGAGTACTAGGAATGTGGAAATGCTTCTATTTCTCACTGTTCTCTTTGCAAATATAGTATGATCCACTGTATAAGAAAAATTGGAATACATTTACTGTGGTAAAGGTCTGAATTCTTCCACTTTTGTTCAAATATGGGGAAAACCTTTTATAGAAAAAATATGTAAAGCTGAGACAAGTAATAAATGCTCACACCATCTCAGGTATCTTTGATGATGAAAAACAACCCATAATGAAGGGGAACAGCATGAATGTAAACGAAGTGATAAAATCTTAAGGTCTGATTCCTCTTTATATTTAGACAAATAGTAGCATTAAATCATATAGGTGAAAGTATTCATCAGTGTAGTAAAGAATTTACATGTGCCAATTTTCTTCTCAGGCGTGAAAGAAGTCAGAGTGCAGAGAAACCCTCTGAATGTACTCAATATGGTAAAGCCTTTGCTTTACATGCTTACAGTCATGCTGAAAGGCATGAAAGGATTCATACAGAAAAGAACCCCTATGAAGTGATTTAGTGTGTTGAAGTCTTTGCCCCTTACGCTAGTCTCCAAATACATAAAAGAACACAAACTGTACAGAATCCTGTGAATGTAATTAATGTGGTAAAACCTTTGGAAGGAACAATTATCTTAAGATGCATGAAACATTTCATACTAGAGAGAAACCCTATTATAGTAAAAGATGTAATAAAGTCTTTACAAATCACAGTCATCTTAAAAAGCATGAAAGAATTCATACCAGAGAGAAACACTACAAATGTAATCAATGTGGTAAAAACTTTACAAATCACAATCATCTTAAATGGCATGGAAAAAGTCATACTGGAGTGAAATCCTATAAATGTAATCTATGTGACAAAGCCTTTTCCCAACACAGTGGTCTCCTAATTCATAAAAGAACACATACTGGAAAGAAACCTTACAAGTGTGATCTGTGTGACAAAATCTTTTCAGAACAGAGTATACTACAAAAGCATAAAAGAATTCATACTGGGGAGAAACCCTACAAATGTAATTGACGTGACAAAGCCTTTTCCCAACATAATGGTCTCCAAAGTCATAAAAGAACACATACTGGAGAGAAACCTTATAAGCGTAATCAATGTGATAAAACCTTTTCACAATACAGGATTTTCCATAGGCATGAAAGAATACATACTGGAAAGAAATGCTTTGAATGTTATCAATGTGGGAAAGCCTTTGTATGTCACAGATGACTTCAAAAGCATAAAAGAATTCATACTGTAGAGAAAGCCTACGAATGTATTTGATATGGTAAAGTCTACAAATTTCCATAGCCTTAATCTTCATGAAAATATCTGTATTGGCAAGAAAACCATTGAATATAAGCAATTTGTAAAGCCTATGCCCAACACAGTTATCTTCTAATGCACCAAGGAGTGCATACTAAGATAGATAGATAGATAGATGGATAGATAGATAGATAGATAGATAGATGATAGATAGATAGATAGATAGAACTTATGAATATACACAATGTGCTAAACCTTTGTATGTCACAGTCATCTTTGAACACATAAAAGAGCTCATAACATATCTCAGAATCCATAAACAACCCAAAGGAGAGAAACCTTGTGTGAATTATGTGGTGATGTCTTTGCAGGAGACAGTTATCTCCTAATGTATAAAATAACACATACTTGTAAGAAACCTCATGAAAGTAAGCAATGTGGTAAAGCTTGTGCGTGTACCACTAGTTTTGGAAATCATGAGAAAAATCCATGCGGCAGGACAATCCTATAAGTGTAGTCACTGTGGTAAAATTCTGCACTTCACAGTATCTGTATGCAAGAGTAAAAGCTTCAGCATGTGATCAGTCTGTTAAAGATTGCATGTCACAGTAGTCTTTCAAGATCTAGAACTCAAAATTACGGCAATCTATGACTCTGATGGACTTGATAAGATCTTTAGCCAACCCACTTACATTAAGTTATACAAAACTGTTCATTCTTGAGAAAACTTTAGCAAGTGTTAACTATCCGCTCAAGTATGATGATGTCTCTAGTTTGTTTGTACCTGCAAACCCACATGGACAAAACTCCTATGAATTTCACTGATGAGGGAACTGGTTTAGATTTCACAGTTCACTTTAAGTTTATGAAATAACTCATTTAGGTGTAAAACTCTATGGGGGCATATTAGCGTTTTTACTGTTGCTGTCATAAAATGTCTAAGGTATTGTAGAAAATTTTTAATCCCAAACCAGGGTGTATACTGTTGGGGGCTGACTCCTAGCAGAAAGTGGCTATCATCTTTGTAGCCATCTCAGGCCATATACCCTAATAAGAGACTTGTTTTTCAACAGCCCACAACAGCTGAGCACACTCTGATAAACATCTTGTTTACCTCACATATCTTGTTTTGCTGTTTAGTGCTCCCAGCTGCAAGGCGCATATGGTATCCACGCTGCAAGGCACGTGGCATAGTGCCTTCAGCTGTGTTCCCCTGCTTGTCCACGGTATATACCCAAAGCATCATATTCATCTATCTCATCAAGATGTAATAATGTAGAATAATCAGCAATCAACTGTATATCTTACAACATAGCTTGCTATACAATGTGTATGTATACATTATTTGGCAGCTCATGCTTTTTCATGTCCTGTGAGTTATGCAGTTGAAACTTCATTTTGAACTACTGCCTTCTAAGGAAATTTTATGCAGACATAGGATGATGTAAGTGCAGTGAGATTTATTTTATTTTATTTTTTTTACAGTTGGGTGTGTGGAAAATGTGGTGATGGTTTTTAGGCAACCACAGATATGTGGAGACTGGAAGACAACTTTGTGGCTTCTACTTTTGGCCATCATTATAAGGTCATCAAGGTCAGGTTGGCAGCCCTCCTCACCACAGACCTTTCACACTGAGCCTTCTCACATTTCAGGGGAGAAAGGAGCTAAAATTCAGTTAAGGACTTAGGAAAGGGAGAAAATTCCCTGTTCCAAATACGTCACACTGAGCAAATATGTTAATCTCTTTCAGTTTTCATAAATAATTTTCTTCTTTTTATTCATTTCAAAGTGTATTCTCACTCTAGTCTCTTGCTGGCCTGGAACACTTATCTGTTCTAGAACAGTAGAGAACTCTGTCTACCTTGCCTCCAGATTACCAGCATTATAGGTGGGCATGTCACAGCTAGATAAATCAGGTCTTTTAATTGGCTTATTGAGGATGAGTGGCTGAGTCTCTCTGGTTAGGATAGCTAGGACACAGACTGTGGTCCTAACTCTAGTAACACAAGTCTACCTTGAAATGCAGCCCTGCTGACTTAAACTCCAATGTCTTTCAAATTAGGAGCAGTATTGTTTTGATTTATCATATTGCCTAAGTCACCAAAGGATTAGGGCAGAGTTCTCTACTTATTCTATAGATCGTGAAACCCAGACTCAGAGTGTTAAGTCATTACTGAATAGATATGTAGAACTTCGAGTCTTACTCGTGCTGTGTTTCTAATGACTCAGTAAATGAAGTGGAAGCCACTTCAGCTAAACATGGTGGCACAGGCCTATAGTCATGGTGCTTGAAAAGTGGAGACAGCAGTTTCAGGATTTCACAGTCATCCAAGGTTGTCGGAGTCTAGCTTCGACATAGGATTGAAATTCTCAGCCGGGGGTAGGGATATCTGGAAGATGCATAATCAATAAACACAGACTACTTTTTGGGTACAAACTGGCACGTAATTTTTCAAGGCTTAAAGTTACTCTCTCTTCTCCCTCTGCACTTTCTCTCACACTTGCTCGCAGCTTGAAGCTGCACATAGTCTCCATTCTTCTGCGCACTCTGCTTTTCTCCTGTGTGCTTTCCTCGAACTTCCACACTCCTACACACCTCTGTGCATTCCCCTTTCACTCTCACATACACTCTTCACACATCTCACACACACCACATGCCCTCTCCTTTCTCTCTCACACACGCTCTCCATACACACCTCACATTCTCTCTTCACCCACTCTTCACGTGTTCACTTCACTCACTCTTCACAGCTCTCTGGCCTTTTTCTTGCCACAGTCTTTTACTGATAATCCAAAGGCAGATAGAAAAAAGACATTGTATAGACATTGCCAAAACAAATTCAAAAGGATAGCTACATCCCAGAAAGAATCAAGAATTATAATTGTTCCCCAATGTTTCAAGCTTTCCCTATTCCAGCCCTATAGCTAAGACAATAATAATTGCGAACTTATCATTATTTAAACTTTAACTTTTGATTTATTATACTTCAGAGCTCAGAGCTCCAAGGCCACCTACTTGCATTTTCTTGTGAAACTCTAATGATAAATGACATAGGCAAAGCTGCCAAGCAATGGCCAGAAAGAATCAAGTTAACCCTTCACTCAGTAGTTCCCCTAGCCTTCTGCTTCTGCACCTTCCACACAATGACTCTCCTAAGAGTCCCAGTGTCTTGACATAGTTTTATTGTGTAAGATTTTATATATTCTATACTTTTTTAAATCCAGGAACCATTCTTAAATGTTGTACAAAATTTATTTAATAACTTCAATAGTTTTTTCCTTTCTCAGGGTCCCAATGTTGGCTCTAATTCACTTTCTAATTATTTCTTCAAACTTTCTTTGCAAGTCAAGCATTAATCTGAAACTACCATTGTGCAGTCACTGTATTGTTTCCAAGATGAGAACACACAGCATGCACCTGGGCCATTAGAACTGTGCTGTGCCCCTATGCCTCAATTTTTAATTGTTTAAGAATCATTACATCAAGAAACATAGTTTCACAGAATTCACCAGAGCAGAAGGAGGAAAAAAAAATAAGAAAGTCAGATATAATAGAATAACTATGCACACCAAGGCCAACTGAAAAGCAGTCATGCACAAAAGAAATCTATACAGCCATTGTCCAGGGCTAAGGTTAGGAGAAATGAACAACTGTCTTTCACAAAGCTTCCACTGGCTACTGAGATGTTTCCATCCCAGTCTACTGTAGGCAGTCCCTTATTTCAGATGTTGGGTCCCCTGGAGGGATGTGTCTCCTGCTTCTCAGCATCAAAGACGCCATCTTTTTTTTTTTTTTTAAAAAAAGAGCTGCTGTGGGCTTATGTGATGTCTCTATCCTGGCCTACTGCTGGCAGTCGTGTCATGGTATGCTGTCCCCAGCACAAAGTGAAAGTGGTCAATGGGGATGATGCTAGGCCCAGAAAACTAAGGCAGACAGTGATTGGCTCAGGCTAATATCTATAGTCTTTATTGCAGCTCCAAAACTTCAGGTCATGACACCAGTAAGTGTTAGCTGAGGTATTTATCATCCTCAGTTTTCTATTTTTGATAATGTTTCCTGTTTCAGACACCCTAGTTTCTTCAGGGTCAGACTACTGCAAGTGGGAAAATTCTTCTCAGGCCAGGATGGGCTCCCTAATGGCATATCCAAACTGTTTATCCCTGAAACCATGTAAACAACAAACAGAACTGTACACAGCAGGTATTATTCATTCATTTGTCCATACTTTTTCACACATTCTTAACAAGGAAGAAATT